GAATTCCCTTTTCTTCATCCATTCTAATTTCATCCCCATATGATCAAATCTTAACCTTCCTTCAAAGTCCAACTCAAAAGTCCAGCTCAAAAGCCACTGCTTCTACTAAGCCTTCCCAGATTCTCCCCCCATTCCTCTCTGTCCTGCCCCACCACATCCATAAGCTCTCTCCCTTTCCACCTTCAGAGGACTTTATCTGTATCTCTCATATCACATTTAGCTTAGGTTTCTGTGTATTAATACTGAAGTACAAATGTTGCCTGCTCCACTGGCCTGTAAACTCTGAGAAAAAGGTCCAAGTGTATTGTAGTCCTCACCCAGCATACACACCCCAAACACACACATCACATACACACACACATGTGCGTATAGACACCTGCAGCACAGTGCCTGGCTGCTCAATAAATATTTGTGGAAAGAGGGTGAGGAGGAAGAAACATGGGTTTACCTAATGGAAAGCAGAATACATTGGTGCATTTGTTATTATGTTGGGTTTATTTACAAAAAGTTGAGAAGAATTTTGTTTGGATGCACTAAGAAGCTGACATATGAAAGTCAGTGACAATCCCTTGTACTATCAGTATGATTTTTATCATCTACTACAATTCAGGAAATGCCTCTTGCTAGGTATTAGCATTATTTCTAATCCCCACAGCATCAGTAATTACCCATTACTATCTCTTACTTTCCAGAGGAAAATGAGTCTCGGAGAATTTAAGTAACTTGGTCAAGATCACAGCTAGTAAAAAGCAGAGCTGGGAATTCAACCCAGGTGTGCCTTACTTCAAAGCCTATGCTCCTTCTATTAGTATATTTTTTTCAAAGCACTTTCACAACTATTACATCATTTGTGCTGCAAAGCAAAACTACAAAGTTGGGTGTTCTCAACTCCTCAGCACCCCATTCACTGCTGCATCTTTCACCCTTCTACCCCCACCATCCTCCCCAGTCCCACTGAAAGTCTACCACCACTTCATCAGCAGTCTGCAACCCTATAAAGACCATACCAGCCCCAGGTTAAGGCCTTTAGAGGTAAGCCTACCCAGTAAAAGGATAAAGCCTCCTTTTAGGTGGTTTTTAAAATGATATACCATGAAATTAAATTTTATCTTTAACAGACCAAAATGCACATATGCTGAATTTTTAAGATTCTTTCTAGATCTTTTGATATTATTTTTCCTTCTTTTCTTTTCTTCTCTCTCCTGCCTTACTGGTACCATCATCTCATCAGCTTGGACTTAGTCTGCTTTTCGGGGGAAACAGTATTGGCAAACCCCAGAAAGTAGATGTCAAGGAAGTAGAGAAGAAAGCTAGATCCCTACAATAAGTGCTTCCTAGAAATAGGGTTGTAGCAATGGCCCCCTGTTCCTCTGGTAGACTGCAATGGTAGTTGCCTCAGCTCTTAACTAAGGCATCCTGGTCAGCTCATCACCAGGGTTCAATGAAGCCAGAACATTGAAATCATTAAGCAACTCTGCTAACACTGGGAGCCATACTGGGTCAGTCTTGTAAGGAAACCAAATATAGGGCCACCTACATGGAGTGATCTGAAGGATACCAAAATGATATCGTGGCTCCAGAATGTCTCTCTTAACAGAAGGGTCTTGAAGGAGTGGCAGTCTTTCAGAATACCCTATGAAAATGCAAACACCACCAACAAATTTCCTTTTAGAGCCCTATGGGGTAGTATCTCAGTAGTAATTTACTTTCCCAAAGTGGCAAGTGATCAAGGGGAAAGGCCTGCTAAGGATGGGACAAGAAATAAAATGAGAAGATGGTAAATGTCATAAAGGGAGATGAAAGGGTGACAAATTTTGACTGCTTCAGAGCTGTGCTAAGATAGACCCTGTTTCCATTCCATTACCAGGTACTCTGGATCCCAGCCATATGAGTAAGAAGTATTCTTGGTCAGTTTTCCAACTTCCAAAGATATGGGGAGCTCCAGCTGCACCAGTGCTGTATTATTGAAATTTTTCAATCTTTACTAAGCCCATTATGGGTTAAATTTAAGAAAGTACTGCAAGCTCTAACACAACCATAGGAATAACATCTTGAGCAAAACAGACACCCGGGTGGGACTGCCCCCAAGGAGTAGCTGGGCATTGTGCCAGAGATCTGTGGGGTAACCTGTCCTGTTGACTCTTTTCCAGGGCAGGAAGAGGGAGGGGCAGGAGCTTGAGTGCTTAAAAATGCAGCCCAGCCAGCTTTGGGGAGAAAGATCCCGACAGAGACATAAAATGTTTCAGATTGTACATTTACTGATAAAATAAAATTATGATTCTTAGTGGAATGCACAAAGAAGAATTTCATCTCATTAAATCCTTCCCTTCCCTTTCTCCCTAAGCTAACACTCAACATATGTAACCTATTAACATAACTGAGCATGAACATTTCTTATTATTGTGTAGTCTCTTTTTATATGTTAAACGAACATATTTATCTTCTTTTTTCCTGAAATATTCATTTGCCCAGTTAACAAAACCTCATTTACTTAAAAATTTTTCATAACCATTCTAAAGGCTTCATAAATTCCATCATGTTGTGAGTGGAAGAAAAAGGATTAAAGTATAGGGGAAGCATGATCAGAGTTTAGATGTGATTACTTTCCTATTCTTACTTGACTGCTTCAGGGTATTAAAACCACTTTAGGCATTTTGACAAAAGTCAGTGTAGCTCTTTTTTCCACTCAAAGGAGAATAATTATGTATGTTTAGGCAGTTTGGAACTTGTACTTAAGGACGTTGAATTTGGTCTTTGCTCTTTGTGGAGGGGGATGGGGGAAGAAAGGTCCCTGTGTTTACCCACTGAATAAATATGCCTGCAGGCAAAGCACTGTTCAGTGCTTTAGTCCGTGGACTTTTTAAACATCTATCTTGGCTGCTCCACAATCCCCGTGTTAATCATTTTGTCTTCCTGTTCAGGTGCCTCCAGTTCTGATTCTACAGAATTATTCGGTAAACAAAACCATCCATAACCCGGCCAGGAAGAAAAGATTTAAAAGCTCCTGAGTAGCGAAAAATCAGCGCTGTAAAATCCATGCATTGTAGATGTCTTCATATGACAGCCATTGCTCAGCCCCTATGCAATTCTAGCAAGTTTGCCTAGCCAGTTTTCCAATTCATAGATGATTAAAAAGAATAAATTAAAATGAGGTTACTGCTGCTATTGCTTATCATTATCATTATTAACCTTTATTGGGTGTTACTAGCTTCCAGACACTGTACTAAGCTTTTTACACACATTATTTCACTAAACCTTTGTGACAACCCTGTAAAGCTAAATACTATTAATAGTCCCACTTTACAGTTTCATAAACTGAGGGTTAGACTCAAAATTTTAGAGAGTAAGTAATTTGCCAAATTTGTATACCTTTAGTGTAGACATGAATATAGGTAATAGTGTGGAGGGCTATGTGACAACTTAATAGCAAAAGCATATAAAAATCAAAGGAAAAAGAAAATACAAAAGTTGGAAAGCATAGTAATTCTGAGATTTTTAATTTGGAAACAAAACACTATACCTTTCGGTAGCTTTCAGAAGGCAACATGGTGTTACAATAGAGTAAACTAGCTGGTTTGTTTAAGTATGACCCAAAGCCATTAAAAGTAGATTAAATTATGTTAATAAGCATCTACTTAAGAATGGACGAAGTATAACATATACTATAATTTTTTTTAATTTTTTGAAGTTGAAATATCATTCATTAAATTTCAACTTGATATACAGTACCGAATCTTTAAACTCATTCCTACATAAATTATTAAGCATTACGGAAGAATTTCAATCAATAATTGTTAGTTCCCTAACTAAGCCTACTGCAAACTCAGGTGCTGGAAGTTCTTCTCTTCTTGCTGAATAAAGTAAACATTAATTATGTGTTTGGGCTTTTCAAAGGGAAGGAAGGCTTCAGTTATCTGAAAAATTCACATAAATAGAACACATCATTCCCTGATGACGGTGATATTTTTATGTGTTGTGTGTTTCTGAAAAATAAAACATTGAAAGGTAGAGAGAGGATAAACTGAATCCACAAAAGATTTTCTTTTCCTTTTCATATCCTCTGAATTCAGGTTTAGCTAGCCCAGCCTGTCAATTTGCTGTGGTTTGGGCCTATTCCATCACCAGGGTTTATCCCATCATGCTGACTAATGCAGAATTGGCCATTTGTAAAGGAGACATGAGACATGGCTGAGTTGATGTGTGATTTGAAATGGCCAAATATAATCCCCAACTCCACTCCTTACTAGGATGAAAATAGCTGCCTTGCCTAAACTGGCTACATAGCCCACGCCCAGGGTATAACTGTGATCTGGCATGAAAAGAGAAAGTAAGATCCGGAGCAGAGTCACTTCTCAAGAGATCAGCCCTTAGTGGGCTACCTGGGTGCTGTCTGGAGCACGTAAGAGGCTCAGGGAAGTATGAGAATGCTGGGCCAGGACATTCAGAAAGAGCTAGGAGCCCTTCAAGACTGTGCATGTACCCATCAACAAAGTTGGCCTCCCCCGCGTTTGTATACTATTATACCTTGCCTAGATCTGTCCATGGTAAATTTTCCGAGAGAACATTGCAGAGAGGGACACTAGGGACTGAGTAGGTGGGCAAGGTCAGGGGCTGAGAGGCTGCAGGCTGTTCTCTGAGTGAGAATTAAACAAATGGCCCACTGTGGATAGAGTGAGGGTAGGTTATGCGAGACACACAAAAAATCAAGTCCCAAACCACTGCAGACATTCAGAAATGTTTGCAACTTTTCACAAGGGCAGTGGTATTACTCCCAATTTCCTAGCCAAATATTTATTAAAGTAACCAAGGACTGAGTACATGAGGCTGCCTCACACCGGCGCAGCATCCTACTTTCCTTGCAGCTCTGAACTGTGAGGTACTGTCAAAAAAACTCTTCCACACTCTAAATAGCTATGTTACAGAGGAGAGTTGGAACGTGTTCTGGGAGTGGGTGTGTTTGTTTGAGTTCTGTGCGTGCAGAAAAGGCAAGCCTCCACAGCCATTCACACACTTCCCTCCTCAGCGATGGGTACGCAGACAGCCGAGCTCCTGGACTGTCTCTGAATGGTAATGTACACTTATAAAGCTTACTTTCTTAACTATTTTGAGGCATTTTATAAATAATATGCATGTGTCTGCTGAGCGCATATATATAGTTAGTCAACTTTTGCTTGTTTTCTCCTGAGCCTGGTCTTGTGTGGTTACTTATGTGGCATGATTTCTGAGGTGTCAGAAACAGCTCCCCCCTCCCTCCTACTCTAGTCACCCAAAAATATCTCTTGGCTTGGCCCATCACAGAGAACTAAAATCCCCACATTGCTCAAACATTTGATTTAGTCACTGAAAGCAGCTGTTAAAATCCAAGTGTTATATTGGGATATTAAGCAGACATTAGAAATTAAAGACTATACAAAACAGAAAAGAATATGGAAAAATTGCTTCTGATATAATGTTAAGTTTCAAAAGAAGAATGCAAAATGACATGCACAGTCTGGGTCAGGTGCTGTTCTTAAAGTGTCACGGGGCCAGAGCCAGCATATACGCCCCAGCTCATGAACTTGAGGCTGTGGTAAAAGAAACCCATCAGTGATGGGCAGATTTTGTTCTGATTTAGGCTGAATAAGTGCTTTCCACAGCTTCTGATGCTCAGCTCACACTCTCTTCACAGTGTATCTGACACCTCCTCTTGCTGAGCTCCGGAGGCTCCCAGTGACCTCTTGGTAATCAGCCTTGGCGGGCAGGGCCTAAATCCCCACCCCTTGGAAAACTCACGGAGCCTGATGTCTGCCTGAGCAGCTTTCAGGAAAGACCTCACAAGCACCCACCCAATCTCTCCTAGTAGAAAATTGCCAAACCAAGCCCATTTCCTCAAAAGATGGTGGAGCACTTAGCAGCCTCCTATATTGCTCTGAAACTGGAGAATGAAATTCTGCAAGCCCAAGTGCAGCGGCTGATGGAAGAAAATGCTGCGCTCCAGGCCCAGATCCCAGCGCTCCAGAAGTCCCAAGCAGCCAAAGAGGATGAACCACTCCAAAACCCCTCACAGACCCAGGAGCCCCAGAAGCCCCCAGAGCCCCTGGGTCCCCCAGCAGGCTGGGATCTCCAAGAGCCCCCAGAGGTCAAAGAGGCCCAGAAGCCCCCAGAGCCCCTGGGTCCCCCAGCAGCCTGGGATCCCCAAGAGCCCCCAGAGGTCAAAGAGGCCCAGAAGCCCCCAGAGCCCCTGGGTCCCCCAGCAGCCTGGGATCCCCAAGAGCCCCCAGAGGTCAAAGAGGCCCAGAAGCCCCCAGAGCCCCTGGGTCCCCCAGCAGCCTGGGAGCCCTCAGAGCTCCCAGAGGTCAAGGAACCCCAGAAGCCCCCAGAGCCCCAGGATCTCTCAGCCTGGGAGCCTACCGAAGCAGAGGAGCCCCAGGAGGCCCAGAAGCCCCTGGAGCCCTCATCAATCCAGGAGCCCCAGAATTCAGAACCACAAGATCCCCCAAATGCTGGGGAGCCCCAGGAGGCACCAGAATGCCAGGAGACATCGGCACAGCTGGAACCCCTTGATCTTCCAGCTCCCCAGGAGCCTCTGGAGACTTGGGTGCCCCAGGAATCCCTGGATCCTTCAGGTACCCAGGAGTTATTAGAACTCTTAGCACCCCAAGAGTCCCTGGAAGGCCTAGTAGTTGTCAAGACATCAGCAGCTTCAGAGTTCCCACAGGCCCCCATTGGATTAGAGGCTGCAGATTTCCCCCTAGAATACCCTCTAGTCTTCAATGGGGATGCCCAGAAGCTTTCTGAGTTCCTGATTCATCTAAATAGTTACATGAGAGTCAGAGGGCACCTGTACCCCACTGAAGCAGCCCTGGTGAGCTATGTTGGCCACCGCTTCTCAGATGAGGCAGGAAGGTGGTTCCAGCCCTTATTGGATATCCAAAGCCCCCTGCTGGAGCAATTTGAAAGTTTCATACGAGTCCTCCAGGATACTTTTGACAATCCAGAAAACATGGATGATGCCAACCACTGCATCCGTCAGCTCTGCCAAGGGGAGGGCCCTGTCCACCAGTACGTGACTCACTTCTACCTCATTGCTCAAGAGCTGACCTGGGATGAACGCACTCTCTGCATCCAGTTTCAAGAAGGGCTTCCCAGTTTTATCCGAGATGAACTGTCTCACACTAGCCCAGCCAACAATCTGTCTGATCTGATCACTCAGTGCATCAGCCTAGAAGAGAAGCTAAATGGTGAGCCTGATCCCAATCCGTCAGGGGCAAGCCCCTCTGAAGAGAAAGATGGGCCTGAGAGTCTGCCAGCTGAAAACCAGCCTGTGCGGGCCGCAAGCAACCGTCCTCACATCAGTGAAGCTGAACGGGCCCGCCGCCGCGAAGGCCACTTGTGCCTCTACTGTGGTCATCCTGGTCATTTTGCCAGAGATTGCCCGGTCAAGCCTCACCGTGCCCAGCAGGCGGGAAACATCGAGGCCCGGCGGTAAGGGGGACCCCGGGCGGGCCAGTCTACAAATATGCGTCCCCCTCTCTTCCAATATCTATGTCCCGTACCCTATGGCTAACTGTTGAAATCCGACTGGGAAGACTACAGTTCTTTGAGCAAGCAATGGTGGATTCAGGCTCCTACAGAAACAGCATCGACCATTCTGTGGTTCTTCGAGAGAAGCTGCCCATCCGCAATAATATCTTCCCTCTGATGCTCGAAACCGTCGATGGCCGTCCGCTGATTAATGGACCCATAACCAAGGAAACACCACCAGTCGAAGTTAAAATTGGAAACCACGTTGAAGAGCTCCAGTTTGACGTTATTCATGCACCACGGTACCCTCTGATTCTTGGAATCCACTGGCTTGAGACACATGACCCAAACATAGAGTGGAGTACCCGCACTGTGTCCTTTCCGTCACGTTATTGTCACTACAATTGCTTCAGGCACAGGTGGAATAGAAGACGTCGTGATGAAATAATTGCTGGGTAGATCCTGCGTCCTAGTGACCGCTCCTGGCAACCTGTCTTCTGTTACCTCAGCTGTCATCAGCATTTGCTGCTCCCTGAATCTTCCACTGAACCTCTGGCTATGAACTAAGGCTACCTGTACAACGACCCTGCCTCTCGGATTACGGACTGAACCTGACGACTTTGAGCTGCTTTTTTCACCAATCCTGCATGCCCCCCTCTCTGAACCCTGCATTATGAAGGGCGATTTTAATTACAATTTATACTAATACTATGCATGAGAATAGATATTAGAAACCAATAATGAAAAAGTGTAGCTGTTAGACTGACTTGATTTTTTTCTGATCAAGATTTTCTCTATCACAAAAATTGCAGCATCTTTTTAATAAAGAAAATAAATTTCCAAGTGATAATTTTTAGAAGAATCAATAAACATTGGCAATTTCTACTTGTGTTTTAATTATTTCTTGGCTTACCTGAGGGAAGGGGATAAGGAACTAGTAAGTTGGGAGGGAGAGAGGAAATTGGAAAGGGCTCAAAGTTTTGATGGGGTCCTGAATATTCCAGGGGTGATAAGAGGATGATGGAGTAGAGGGAGATGGAGAAAGTAGAGAACAGCTGGGGCTGGGTGAGATATGAAGGGATTAGGGGGAAGTTAAAGTTAAGGTTGAAAAGAGGCTTTGGGGAAGATTGGGAGGAGGTTAGAGAGGGTTTAGGGGAGGGCTGGGGGTACTGAGGGAAGGGGTAAGGGGAGAGGTAAATTCCTACAAGAGTAAAGAGAGCACTGACAGAGACATTGAGCGGGTTTGAAGGCAAACTTCTTGGACTTCACGAGTTAACCAAACAAAGAAGATCACTGGAGCAGGTAATGAGACCCCTTTGGTGATGCAATTTTCCTGGTAAAGTAACAAGGTCTTATTTCCTGCAGCACGGAAATTTGCCCTAGAGCTCATGCCAATTAATTCACTCTTGCCAGTGCACAGGAGCAGGGGGTCAGGAATCAGCTCTCAACACATGCACATCATCAGTAGCCACGTGCACCTCTCCTACACACACAGGTTGCCCTGCCCTGCTAGCCATCCTGCCTGTATGACATACCAGGAAAGCTGCATCATGAGAAGGAGTTTATGTCCCTGCATGCCTGAGAGGGGTTGGTGTCCTGACTTAAATCATAAACACACACACACACACACACACACACACACATGACCTACAGGGTGCAGGGGATAGAGGAAGTGGGATCTCCAGGTGAGATGTGAGGAGTGGTCCAAGCAGTCCCTAATGCTTTTCCTCATTTTAACTCTCCCTTGGGAGCCTCTTTGAGGCCACTTGAAGGGGATTCTTCCTCTTACTTAGACAAATGACCAAACAAATTATCATAACCCTAGAAGGAAATAGGGGAGGAACTTACCATTCATTGAGCCCTTAATGCATTCCAGCTACAATGTCAGGCGTTTTACACACATTAATTATCCATTACTCCTCAGAACAACCCAGTGAAGTAGGTTTATTTGCTCTTATCTTATCAATGAGCAAACAGAGTCCCAGCAAGGATAGTTCACTTGCCCAAAGTCACATAGCTAGTAAGTGGTGGAGGCCTGTTTGGCCTCCAAAGACTGTGCCCTTTCACCCACAGCATGCCAATCTCTCTAATGCAGTGGTAAGTGTCAAACAAGATTGTTGCAGCAGGAAGCTAGGTTGGGATAACCCTTTTTTTAAAAAGGGGGAAACTCATAAGGAAAACTACAGGGACCATTTGGGTAGTAGTTCCATTTCTCCGGCTCCCTTGATCTCACTTCCAACGCCCTCATCACCCCAAAACTTTCTTTTTTATCTCTTGTAGGATTTCCTTTTGTTTAAATAATGGCACAGTCCCCTTTCAGATGCCATAGTGTTTTTCATGAGAGTTGGGGGCCCAGGAAGAGTTACCTGAAGGATCTGTGCATTACCTAGCAGCACCAGTAATAAAATTAAAAAAAAAAAAAAAAAAAACCCTGGATTGTCTTCATAGCCACTTGTATTATCAATCCAAATCCTGTGAAGCCTTAAATTCCACCTGTTCTAGTCCTCACTAGCCCCTCCTTCCATCCCTGGACAGTCTACCATATTTTGGCATTATGCACTGCCTTGTGGTATGTGGGGGACTTTTCCTAGCTATATGTCCTACTTTCCCCCAACTCCACCCCACCCCACATATACTTAGCCTGGGTGCAGGGGCAGAATCATCTATATCCCCACCAAACATAGTGCCTGGTACATAAAGGGTTTTCCACAGAAACTGATTCAATGACATTTAATTATCATTTCTCAGAGAAAGGGGCTTATTTGTATACCATGGCCCTTGTTTTATTCTCCTACTCAGTTGCTCATCTCTACTCCCAAGGACCAAATACTGTTAAATAGATACAAATTGTGAATGTTGTCAAGGTGGAATTCAAGAACAAAAAACCTATAAGTGACCACAAAGGAAAAAAAAATGCCTTCTTTTGGTCAAACTACCCTGGAGCCAGGAAGACCATCTGTGTTTGCTTTCCCTAAGACTGAGAGGATTCATGGGACACAGGCCTTTCTGCGCTGAAACTTAAACAGCTCTGGGCAAACTGAGATGGCTGGCAAACTACTTGGACCCTAAATTTTTCTATATGTCTATAAAAGCTTATTTAACTACAGTGCAATTCTTTATTTTATAAACAGGAATCAATTATCTAATCATAGAATCACAGACTTTGTAAGTTGGAAAAGACTCAAGAAGTCTATTCCCTTAATTTTACAGATAAAGGAGCTAAGGCCCAGGGAAAGAAAAGTTACTTAACATAGCTCAGTGTTATCCTGATCTACTGACTCCGAATCCAGTGCTCTTTTTCCACATGAGCCACTGTTCTAACCCAATAGTTAAAAATCGAGTCTGTGGTGTGGCCAGCACTGAGCTAGATACTGTGTGTGGACAACATTTAAAGTATAATATGAGAGGTTTACAGTGTGGTCAGGGAGAAAAAATTAGCAGGCACTAGACAGCTAGCATAGGTAATCAAATGCTAAATTCTGTGGTGGCAAAAATATACCAAACTGAAACATACCAGCTGATAAGGGTAATAACTCCATTTAATAGGCACGTGCTTTTTGCCAAATGTTGGGCTGGGTGATTCAGGTCTTTTCAACTGTCTGCAAGGTAGATATTACTAGCCACATTATACAAATCAAAGAATTGAAGACCTCCGGAGTGACGTTACTTGCCAAGTCTCACGCTGCTAGGAATTTGTGGATCCTAAAAACAAACCCTGATCTGTCTCACTCCAAATCTGGGGTTTCATCCAATGTACCGCACTGCTTGTCAGGATGAATGACCTTTACTCTTTATTAACCACCTTAATTCACTGGACATGAGTTCTATCACCCTAGAAAAAGAACAGAATTTGTTAAATCATGTATTAATTTATTTATTCACCAAGCATTTATTGAATGCCTTCTACATGTCAGGCACAGGCATAGGGGGAAGGAGAGAGAAAAGGGAGAGGAAGAGAGATAGAACGACATCTAAAGTGTGAGTCACAGTTCCTGTTCTGACCACAACATAACAAGAGAAGCTGTTGTGTAACAGCACCGTGACAGACACAAGAGAGAGCACTAATTCTGCTACGGATTAAAGAAGTGCATTTTGAGCTGGGTCATGAAGGAACCTCACTGGAAACAAGAGGGGAGGGAAGAACTGTCTAGGTTAAGTAAAGTACAAACAAAAAGCAAGCTGGAGAGAAAAAGCATGGTATTTTCAGAAAAGATAGTCCTACGTAACATGTGTGTGTGTGGGGGGGGGGGGGGTAGGTAGAGCTTAACAAGGGGTTTGGAAGTCTCAGGTTAAAGACCCTATCTATCTGGCTAAGAAGTTCAAACTTCATCCTGTAGGCGATTTGGACTGGGATCTTTGGTTTCCTTTTCTTCTTTGTTTGGATATCGATATGGGTGTATTTTTCTCTCCTGCTATAATGTAATGCACCTTACTGAAACAAATCCATATGAGTCAGGAGTTCATAACATAAAAGTAAAATGCTCCCCTTTCTCTCTGTGCCTTATTCACAGACTAGAAGCTTTGTAAGAAGAAGAGAAACATGAGTAGTTTATATTTTAATAATTTGATAGTGATGTGGAAAATTACAAGAGAGAAAGTGACAAAGTGCCCCGTGCTTTTTTACCTTCTTATACTTTTATGAAGATGGGTTCAAACTGTCAAAGGCGAAGAATTAAAAGTAAACTAAGTTAAATTTTCCTCAAATATTTATATTGAGGACTTACTATGAGCGAGGTACTGAAGTACACATAGACATATGCAAGACAACATCTCTACTATCAAGAATTTTACAACCTAATAACAGACAAAGACTCATGAACAATAAAAAAAACTACTTTTTATTTCGGCCTCTGCAGTTTCAAATTTTAAAGATTCTCTAAATGGAGAGGGTTTTTAAAAAAATAAATGTTCTGCAATATGTGGCACAGATGAAAACAGTTCCCTCTTTAGCTAACTTTTCTAAGTTTAAACTAACAGGAAAATGAGCTCTATATATTTTTGTAACTTCCCTTTCTGGTTTGTTTTTTCTAACAAATATTTCATATTTCATGATATTAAAGTATGCCTGGAGTAGTCATGGTCAATCTATAGAAGGATTTATATGTTTTCCAGTTCTTAAAGTATCAGTATATTTCTAAAAGTATGATTTTAAAAGGTTTTGTAGGGACAAGTAATTTTTAAAATACTTAGTGTAATAAACTTTGATACCTAGCATTCTACTGATTTTTAAACATTAAATTACAAGGGTAATATAGGGGTCAGAGCACTAGGGCTCAGGAGATTAGGATTAAATTTCTAGGTTTGCTGTACGACCTATTTCATTTATTAAATGAAGATAATAATGCTTGCAAAGTTAGAGAAAGCATCAAACGAGAAAACTCATGTTAAAAAATTGCTATGAAAGTTGAAAATGCTATATATATAAAAGGTATTATTATAATAACTTATGTTTGTAATAATGACCTTAAGGACCTTCAAGAACTAACATACCTGTTTAAATTCATTTCAGTTTCACAGACCTCTATCTCTAGTAAGTACTTGCTATGTACTGGATACTCTATATTGTCAATCATAGCAAGATTCAGTTAGGTTTGAAATAATTATTGTATTAAGCAGTTTTTTTAGTATTCTTACAACCAAAACATTGGCATATATGTTAGAATTTTATTTACCAGAATATATATTGTATCATCTAAAGTGTTAGTTTGGCTGGCCAGTTAGCTCACTAGATTAGAGCACAGTACTGATAACACCAAAGCACCAAGGTCCAGGGTTCAGATTCCCGTACAGGCTAGTCACAGAAAAAATAAATAAATAAAAAAAATTTTTTTAATTTTTAAAAATTAAATGTCAGTTCTTTCCTGGGGCATGTCAACTAGATGACA